GAGTTTTGAACAGCAGAACTGCAGAACTGCAGTCAGCTGAAGTAGCCTGCAGTGCTGCACTCTAACCACTGCGCCACCTCGGCTCTATTTGGGAAAAATTTGCAAGATGGAGAAAAATACCAAACCCAGTCTAAACATCTGGCTGACTGTGCAACCAATCATTTATAAAGTCAGTAATGTTTAATGTTGTAGGCCACCCAGAATCACCTGTGTGTGACTTGGGCAGCCATATAAATTCTTTTAATAAATGAAAATACATAAAAATAAGCCTTTGGCCCACTTTCTCACAAGTCCACTGGATTCTAAGCACCATGACAGGCATTACAGCATTCTTATTTTGGGTGAAATCTTGCAAGCATCAACTCACTTGGTAGGAGTGTGTCACGGTCTTGTTTTCTTGCCGTTCAGAACTAAAGTCAATGTATTGGTTAGATGTTTCTAACCTGCAAGAGACAACAGCAGGAATGGATGAGCAAGGAAGGAAGTGATTTTATTATTACTAGAACCCCCTTGAATTTACTGACTCCAAGAGAACTTATCCGTTCACAATACTGGCTGCAAAGAGAAAAATAATTTTGCAGTACTTGCAGACAGAGGGCTCCTAATACTGTTAAAAAACATAATGCAGCCATTCAGTCTTTTTAACTGGTTCTCTTTGTAGAAAGAAAGAAGGCAAGCGGTGGGGTGGAGGGGGGGGGGCTGCAGCTCAAAGCTGACAAGATGTAAACTCTGTCCAGTGGTGGGTTGTAAGCGGTACACCCCGGTACAGGCGTACCGGAGCCTACCGGAGCACTGGGTACTGTTCCGGTACGGTGCTCCGGAGGGTCCACCCACCTGCCTTGCTCCTTACCTGTCCTTTAACCATTAGTGCTTCCACGCACGTGCATGGTGTGTATGGCGCCTGCCTGACGCTCCGCTGAGCAGCTAGAGCGTCGTGGAGGCTTGTGGAGGCGTCGCAGGCAGATACGCAGGCATGCAAATTCAGTTTGTGTCTGTGCGAGCACCACACGCATCTATGTGGCTGATACTCGGCCTGTTCCAACCATACCGGTCGGACAGGATCCGGAACCCACCACTGACTCTGCCTAATATTCTATGACCCCAACAGCAAATTACACAATAAAAACCTCATTTAGAAGCCCAATCTTGGAACCAAGCAAAATAACTCTAGAGCAGTGTTGGCAAGCCTTTTCGGCACTGAGTGCCGAAACAGGAGCGTGCACGCATGCGCAGGGAAGCACCAGAAACTGGAAGAGCAGCTCCCTAGTGTGCACGTGTGGGAATTCCGGAAACCAGAAAAGCAGTTCCCTGGCATGCCTGTGTGCTCTAGGAAGCTGAGCTTCTGGGTTCCGGCATGCACATGTGTGCTGGTCACCTGGTCTTCCAGTTTCTAGTGTGCATATGTGCACAAAGACCAGCTGGCTGGCATGCATGTGCATGCTGGAACCCGGAAGAACAACAGGCGATGGCTGGCGTGCCCAGAGAGATGGCTCTGTGTGCCACTTCCGGCACACGTGCCATAGGCTCACCATCACGGCCTGCATTTGTGATGATGCCATCATAAGAAACTGTTGGAAGCCCAGGAAATGTCATATCTTCTGAAAAATGAGGTGGAAGATTTTGTAGGAACTTCAAACACCGGTATTTGTAAAGTTACCAGATCAGAGTGCGACCGATCCACAGTCACTAGGTTGTTCTGGATCTTATATTCGTTCTGCTTAATTATACTACAGTGGCCTACAGGTCTGCTTTCATTTCCAGGAGGAAAATGTTAAAAAAGGCAACCAAGAGTCTTACCTCTTGATAATGATGTTGATGGGGTACTTCACAGGGATGCTGTGAACAGCTCTGTTGTTTTGAAGAGTTTCATTATCCTCATTTTCACTGTAGGAGAGTAACGCACAATATAATCTTAGAACTACTTGTTCCAGACTTCCACATCCATAAGCAACAAAACAAATGACAACCTCCCACTATGCCTGAAAAGTTTTCGATCAGTTGTGTGCTTCCTGCTCTAACATATCAGGTGTTTTGACCTAGGCTTCCTTAAAAAGCTTGAAGCAGGGAGGAGCCAATGTCGCGACGATACGGACGTGCGGTCTTGATGCTTCGAGATCGCAGCCAATACTTTTGCCGCTGGATGGTGCAATTGGACCTAAACAGTCCTGCAGAGACAGTGAACAGGAAGAATACGTCTTGCTGATCTCAGGGACATCGCAAAGTCCCTGATGGATCCAAGAAAAGTTCTTCAAGCCGGCGACAAAAAATCCAGCCATTAGGCTGATGAAGTCAGGGCGGCTCCAAAATGGAAGGATATGGAAAGAGGAAAGTGTTTCCAGCTGGTGAGGAATTTTTGCCATTTTAAAAGAGACTGCTTATAAAAAACTTAAAGTTAATTTAAATTTGAGAACAGAAGAAATAAGCGGCAGAATTAAGCTTTGAATGGCTTTGGACAGTGGGCTATCTTACTTTTTAAATGCTATGTTCATGGATGGAATTTATGCAAGCCTTTTAAAATGAATGGATGAAGTTTTCTTCTATTTTTTTTCTTTTATTATTATTCTTTGTAACCTATGGACTAAATATCCTTAATCAGAGAAAAGTGAAAATAAGACTTTATTGTGAATTTATGCTTAATCTTGTAAAAACCTTC